CATGACCAACGATATGCTAGGGAGGAAAGGTCACCCTGGTGGCAAGGTCCCACCCTACATTTTGTCCTTAGCTAGGCACCGACAGCCTTCCACTCTGATGACCTTTTGTACCTAGCCCAGTGTCCTCGCTCTGCTCATGTCTGTCTAACTGCCTCCCACAGTTCACTCCACAGCCTTCCCGTTTATGCACCCCTCACTGGTAAGCTTTGGTGCCAGGAACGAAATCTTTCTGTCAACCTGCTCCTCCCAAGAGGGCACTGTTTATACCAAGCTGTTCACATCTGCCAGGCTGGCAGAAAGGTCCACAATGCTTCCTCAGTGCCTGAAATCCCACTGGCTGTGCCCTGGCTGGGGCTAGGTAATTCCGCCTCCTCTGCTCTCCTTAGAGAACAGAACAGAGCCCAGTTTGGGGATGAAACCTGATGCTGAGGCATTCACAGCACCTGGTGTGTCCTCCCAGCCTAGCTTTGGACCACTCACTTCCTGCTTCTCCTGCTGTGCCTCTGTTTACTTTTGTCCTATTGTTTCTAAAACTGCAAGTAAATTTTTGTTTCTAGAGCAGAGGTGAGGAGGATGACTGTCAGAACTCTTTCAGCCTCTCCTTTAAACCCTGGAAAAGAGCCTGGGACAGAGTCCACACTCGCCACACCCTCCATTGGCTATCGTCTTTTTTCTTTTGGTAACTTTTCCCCTTCTACCTTTAGTCTGCCAGGAGACTATTTTCCAGAAATTCCTTTTGTCATTTTTTATTACCTCATTTTACTTGTCAGTTTATGCCTGGGTTATTCCCAAATGATGAGCAAAATAGGTTCTTAGTAAATGTCAGCTGATGATGACATGCCAATTTTACAAATTGCCTAATTTGTTTTCTTGGAGCCCATTCCTTTGAAACTGGACAACCAATGGGTCAGGGGTGCCTGTCAGGGCTGCCTGTACTTGACTCAATTAGGCAGAGACAGGGCTATATCATATATGAGCGTTTATTCCAATAATGTCAGCAGTATGGGAGAGCAGCAGGTAGTTCATCCACGAAAATCTGCTCAACCCCCCCTCGCACCCTCAAGCCAGCTGCTTATATTGGGTAGGGCAAATATTATATGGGGAAGTAGGCAAAAGGAATAAGAATGGGTATGCAATCTGGCCATCATGGCTCAGTGGTTGAGCATCAAGCTATGAACCAGGAGGTCATAGTTTGATTCCTGGTCATGGCACATGCCTGGGTTGTGGGCTTGATCTCCAGTGTGGGGCATGCAGGAGGCAGCCAATCAATAATTCTCATCATTGCCGGGACCGGTTTAGCTCAATGGATAGAGCGTCGGCTTGGGGACTGAAGGGACCCGGGTTCGATTCCGGTCAAGGGCATGTACCTTGGTTGTGGGCATATCCCCAGTAGGGGGTGTGCAAGAGGCAACTGATCGATGACTCTCTCTCATTGATGTTTCTAACTCTCTATCTCTCTCCCTTCCTCTCTGTACAAAATCAATAAAATATATTAAAAAAAAATAATAATTCTCATCATTGATGTTTCTCTCCTCCCTTCTCTGAAATCAATAAAAATATATATTTTTTAAAATAATGGGTATGCAAAATGAATATTATTACAGGCATGGAGAAGTAGGCTATTCGGGCTGGGGAGGGACTCTATTGTTTGAGCAACTAGGCCAGGTCAAAGTTAACAGAGCATGATTAATGTTTCTTATAACCATAGCTAGTTCCCAATATTCTATTTCTGCCCCTAACACCTATACTGAGAACTCAGTGGAGATCATGCAATCACAGAAAAGAGGCTGGTCTAAGGCCCGGGTGTTCTTTTACTGAGGGAAATGGTAAAGCCACTAATGCTTGATGCAGGGGTGAACCAGATTTTAAAGATAAAATGTTTGCCCTGGCCAGTGTTTCTTACTGGTTATGTTTTAGGTGGTAGGAACAGCACATGTGTCTGACTGGTGGGGGTCAGCAACCTCGGTACTTGGGTTCTGGTTAGGAAAGAATTCAGAGCCAAGACCCAAACTGTAAGAGAGCATTTATTTGGTAAATTACAGCGGTAGCAGAAGTGATTCCTAGAAGAAGTGGGCTTAGAAAACAAGTTATAGAGGTGAAGGAAGGGTCCTTGGAACTTGGGAGTGAGGAAGCTAATGGTAACATCCCTGGGGAGGAAGAAGGAAAAGGGAAATGGAGAGGGAAGGGAAAAGCAGGAGTCCTTTCAGGTTTGTGGTCTCCACTGATTGATTGGCCGCCACCAGGGCAGGTGTCAGTATTCAATGCAGTTGGTCCTGTGGTCAGCTGTGGCTAGTTTTGTTGCTTATCTGGGCCTGGAATTGAAATACAACTGAAGCCTAGATGTTATCTCTAAGGAGAAAAGATCAGGGGGTCCAAACCTCCTGACCAGCAATTGCTAGGGAAGAAAAAGTCATCCTGGGGATAAGGTTCTATCCTACAATTGTCCATTGCTAGGCACCTGGGGCCTTCCATCCTGGTGACCTTCTGTACCGGCCCCTTGTTCTTGCTCAGCTCATGGTTAACTGCCTATAGCAGTTGTTAGAGCATCGGCCCTAGTACTGAAGGGTCTTGGGTTCCATTTCTGGTCTGGGGCAAGTTAGATTCCTGCCTCCATTTGAGTGAGGGAGGCAACCAACCAGTCAATGAATCTCACATCAATGTTTCTCCCTCCCTTCTACTCTCTCTAAAAATCAGTGGGAAAAATATCCTCATGTGAGGATTAACAAAAAAATCTGTTTGAGTGCTCAGCCTTAAATTCAGTTCAAGTTCCCTACCCTACAGTGCTAACCTGAAACCTCAAACTGATTAATAAGTATGTGTTTTTAATCAAAGTATGCATTTTCATAGCCTATAAGGTAGAGGACTGAAAGGAAAATTTCACAATTTCCCTTTCAACTAAAATTGGTTTTGTGTTATGTCTTAACTACCTGCCATTTAACACATATTTTAATTAAGCATAAACTTCATTCCCAAGAGTCTATTTTGATTGCTCTTGACTTAGTTTGCATACTGATTCCTTTCATTTTTTTAGCTGTTAAAATTTCTTCTTTTACACTCTAGAGGTGAGTTAGAGTTGAGACATCTCCCCCTTTTGTTCACTTTGAAGATTCAGTGATGGGCTCAGATCAAAGGGTCAACTGGCTTCCAAAGGGCCACAGGAGTGCTGTTTGAGTGGAGGGCAACTTCTCCAACTGGGACTAATTTTGTGTTCTTTAGTTTCCCACAGTCAGATCACCCGCCTCTACAGCCGGTTCACCAGCCTGGACAAAGGCGAGAATGGGACTCTCAGGTAGGCAGTTCCTTTCTTTATTTTCTGGCAGTGTCTGAATAAATGCTTTTATCCTGAGATAGGCATCAAGCATGCAGAGCAGGGACCATTCCTTCAGTTTTCTTTGAGCATCATTGATCGAAAAGGGAGTTAAAATAACCAGAACACCAACATTACATTTATCACTAGGTGCTTGCTGCTTTACTCCAACTCCCCTTAGTTTGGGTGGCCATTGTTCTGGTCCTAAGAATGTATGTACATTTGAGAATTTCAGCTCTTGAGTTTTCCCACAGTCCTTTCCAAAAAAAATATTAGCTTTATGAGGTTGATCCATAGCAATCCAAGTTGGTCCGTTTGTTTTATATTTCCCAATACAACCCATAATGGGCAGTGATTCTCAACTGAGAGCTGTTTTGCCCTTGGGTGGCAAAATGTCCGGAGACATTTTTAATTGTCATGACTGAGAAATGCTGCTCTTGTCTAGTGGGTAGAGTCCAGGAATGCTGTTTAACATCGTACAATGCACAAGGCATCCTCCCACAAGGAATAATTGTTCTGCCCTAAATGTTAAAAGTGCCACTGGTCTAGAGTAATGTAATGTGTATCATTTCATATTTGTAATTGTCTTAGAGACAAATGAAAAAAATACCTCCTTACCACCACCTTCCAACCTAACTCTCAGAACAATACAACCTTTTGTTACTGTTGTTTCTCAGTTTTGATTGACTGTATAGAATGAAGCTGCTTGCCTTGCTGGTGGCTGGCAGGAAGCAGTTTAGAACTTCTTTGGAAGGCTTCTCGTGTGGATGTGGGATATAGCATAAAAGGGGAAGGAATATAGTTGCTAAGCCTTTGTACATATCCTCAGGCAGAAGAGCTAGAGAATTCAGTAAATCCCTAGGGCTATGTTTGTTCAAGGCAAAGTCTGCCTTTACTAGAAGCTGGGATTGACCAAAACCATGTTGCACAGTCATTAAAATCAATGACTATGGAATACCTACCATGTGCAAAGACCACACTAGTTGCTTTTTCTTAATTGAGGCAAAATACATATAAAATTTACCATTTTAAGGTGTACAATCCAGTGGCATTAAGTATGTTCACAATGTTGTGTAACCATAACCACTATCTAGTTCTAGAACATTTTCATCACAGATGGAAACCCCTTACTTATTAAGCAGTCTAGTTTCCATTCCTCTGACAGCCACTAATCTACTTTCTTCCTCTCTCTGGACATTTTATGTAATATATAGAATCATACTGTATGTGGCCTTTTGTAATTGACTTCTTTCAATTAACATGATGTCTTCAAAGTTCTTCCATATTACAGCATGTGTCAGTACTTCATTCCTTTTTATGACTGACTAATATTCTATTGTATGTATATATCACATTTTGTTTATTCATGCATCAGTTGGTGGACATGTGGGTTGTGTACACCTTTAGGCTAGCTATTGTGAGTAGTAGTAATATGAACATTTTGGTGTGGGCATATGTTTTAATTCTTTTGGGCATATCCCTAGGAGTAGAATTTACGTCTATGGAAATTTTATGCCTAATTTACTGAGGAACCACCAAACTGTTTCCCAAGCAGCTGTACCATTTTACATTTCCACCAGCAATGTATGTGGGTTCAAACTTCTCTACATCCTCACCAATGCTTATTATGTCATGTGATTGTGTGAGTGGTATATCATTGCGATTTTGATTTTTTTTTTTTAATTTCTTTATTGCTGCCCCTTGAGGCGTTGCAGGTGGGCTGCCGTGCCCGCCTGCGTCATGAGGTGGCAGAGAGGACAAAGGCTCGCCTACGCCCAGCGCCCTGGCCGTGGGCACCTGGATGGTTGACAGCCTGACACTGGAGGAAAAAAAATTTTTTTCTTTATTGATTAAGGTGTTATATATGTGTCCTTATTTCCCTGTCCTCACTCATGCCCTCACCCCCCTGTTGTCTGTGTCCATTGGTTAGGCTTATATGCATGCATATAAGTCCTTTGGTTGGTCTTCCCCCCTCCCCCCCTGTGGTTTTGATTTTTATTTCCCTAGTGGCTAATGATGTTGAGCATCTTTTCATGTGCTGATTGATCATTTGTATATCTTCTTTGGAAAAATTCCTATGCATGTCCTTTATTATTTATCTTTTTGTTGTTGAGTTGCAGGAGTTCTTTTTATAGATATTAGAACCTTTTCAAATATATGATTTGCAAATATTTTCTCTGTGTGGATTATTTTTTCACTCTTTATAATGTTCTTTGAAGCACAAAAGTTTGAAATTTTGGTGAGTCCAGTTTGTCTGATTTTTCTTTTGGTGCATGTGCTTCTGATCTCATATCTAAGAAATCATTGCAATATCTAAGGTCATGAAGATTTACCCCTCTGTGATCTTCTAAGAGTTTTATAGTTTGTTCTTATATTTAACTCTGATTCATTTTGACTTATTTTATATATATTTTATATATATATGTATACACACAAAAATATGTACTTTATATATATAAAAATATGTGTGTGTATGATGTATATATGGTGTGAGGTAAGAGTGAAACATTTTTTGTGGGTGGATGTCCACCTGGCCCAGCACCATTTGTTGAAAAGACTATATAAATTTGCACTTGAAAAATAAACCGGACTAGAAATCTCTACTTTCACTTCAGCTCTAATACTTGAATAATTCACTTGGGATTATATCTTCCTCATAAATTTAGATTTAACCACTAAGATATAGATTCAAATTAGTTCTGAGTCACCCTGGACAGCGTTGCTCAATGGTTGGAGTGTCAGCCGGAACACCTCAGATTGGTATTTCACGGGATATAAATATACACTATAACCTCACAAATCTTACTTTCTTCAGATGCCATTATATTGGGTGAAATATACCACTGCTATTGAAATTGGTCTTTCTGAAAAGGCAGTGGGGTCTGCTAAGAGATCCTGAAATGATCTTTTGTAAGACAGATCAAGATGAGAGCTCAGTCAGCATCTACATATAAAGATATTTTCTTGCCATAGCCGGTTTGGCTCAGTGGATAGAGTGTTGGCCTTTGGGCTGAAGGGTCCTGAGTTTGATTCCTGTCAAGGACACATGCCTGGTTTGTAGGCCCAGTCCCAGGGAGGAATAGGGTAGTGCAGGAGGTAGGTGATCTGTGATTCTCTCATCATTGATGTTTCTCTCTCCCTTCCTCTCTAAAATCAATAAAAATTATTTGTTTAAAAAAAATGGTTTCTTTGTTTAAAAAACCCTCTGTGCCGATCTAGTCCATGGTCTTAGAAGTCAAAATAATGATTAGCCTTTGGGGAGGGGAACATGTAGAGACAAAGGGAGCATTTGAGTACTGGTAATATTAATGTTTCTTGATTTGGGTGCCAGTTACAATCTTCACCATGAAAATTCACCATGCTTATGGTTTGTGCTCTTTTCAGTATATATGTTATACTTCAATAAAAGTTTACTTTTAAGATATCCTCTACATTGAACAATTTTGATATTGGGTCTTTGTCAGATAATACTTTTTCTAAAATAATACCTTGATGAAAAATGTTCCTGGATATTAAAGCTATAGGGGCTTCAATATAAACCAGCTAAACTCTGCAATGAAGTTATTACTGGGAATTGCTAGGTGGCTATGTTGTTACGTATTGCTTAATGATTACCTGTAAATTTTAGGAGATGGTGTCCTAAATGGTAGCCATTTATCTTCTTACACACTTAGCCTTTTTGAGATTCATTTTCTTATTTGACTTTATCCAGAGGACAGATGATTTCAACATTTTGGACAAGCACAAGCACAGTGGTATCACAGATGAAAACCATGATACCAATCTAATTCTTTTGGTAGATCGTCTTTTTTTTTTTTTCTTCTCAAAGCTTCAGATATCTCCTGTTAATGTTTTGAAATTTCACAATGATGCACCTTTTTCACAATGATGCAACTTGAATTGAGGTGGTATCAGTGTGTATATGTTAAGATAATTTTTAAATTTTCAGTTATAGTTAATATACAATATTATATTAGTTTCAGATGTACAACCCAGTGATTAGGCATTTATATAACTTACAAAGTGATTACCCCAATAAATCTAATATCTATCTGACACCATATATAGTTACCACAATGTTATTGACTATATTCCCTACGATGTCATTTATGACCCAGGACTATTCTGTAATAGTATCAACTTGTACTTCTTAATTTGTATGTCAAAAAGTTTTCTGTATCTATGAATCTATTTCTGTTCTGCTTATTTTGTTTTTTAGATTCCATATATAAGTAAAATCATATGGCATTTGTCTTTCTCTATCTGACTTACTTTAATCAGCACACTACCCTGTAGGTCCATTTTTAAGCACCAAGTTATATTATGAATGACTTGTTCTGGTTCATTCATTGCTATAAAAAATATTATCTTAAGTGATCAAGAAAGATTAGAATCTAGATTATTGTTCCAGAGCTTTGTGCTCAGTTTCCTACTTCTACCTTTGTCACCATCAGATGTGCTGGAGATGAGCTTATTGAATTAAGCACTGTAAATGTTAAACCACAAGAGGAACAACGTATTAAAGGCTCCCGGGTAAACAGAAACACTAGCATTTAGTACAAAGAGGGTGGAAGAGTAACTTTTATCTCTTCTGTTAGTAAACATCTTAAAGGCAGGAATCAGATATCTTGAGTTTATATTTCTTCATATACTTATTATCTAGATTTACCAGTTAACATTTTGCCACATAATTTGGTGTGTAGTTCCTATAAAAAGGACCTTTCTATACCAAAATCAAGAAATGTAGCATTTTTGTGCAGTACCATTTTATAATATTTTATATTCTGTATGGTCATATTTTATTTTTACCTATTGGTTCCGTCATGTCCTTCATAGCAAATTTTCTTATATTCTAGGATCAAGTATTGAGTTTAGTTTTATGGCTCATTAGTCTCTTTGGATCTGAAAGAATCATGACTTTCTCTGTCCTTCATGACATTGATATTTTTGAAAAGTATAGCACAGTTATGTTGTAGACAACTTTATATTGGTACAGAATATCAAGTTTTCTTTTTTAAATACTTATTGAACATTTTTGGGAGAAAACCTTTCTTTCAAAATATTTAATATTGGAGCCCTGGCTGGTTTGGCTTAATGAAGGGTCCCAGGTTTGATTCCAGTCAAGGGTACATGTCTGGATTGCAGGCTCAATCCTCGTAGGAGGATTATAGGAAGCAGCAAATCAATGATTCTCTCTCATAATTGATGTTTCTATCTCTCTTTCCCTCTCCCTTCCTCTCTGAAATCAAAGATATATATTTTTAAAAGTTTAATATTGGAAATAAATGTGCTTTTAGAAAAAGACATGCTTGACTTACAGACTTAGATTTAAATCACAGGCCTGCTACTCAGTAGCTTTGTAACATTGGGCAAGTTACTTTATCTCACTGACTCAACTTCCTCAATTCTAGAAGGATATAGGTAAAATGTTAGAATTAAAAAATGAGATAATGTATATAAACAGAGCAGCACATAATGTGTATAAAGTAACTAATAATACTCAAATATAACTCCCAAGTTGTGAGTAGATAACTACTCTTGCCATGTTTGAAGGTTAAATAGTCCTCTAACTCTGGTCTGTAGAAGATAATGGAGAGAAAAAAACAGACTCAGAGCAAGGAAGTCTGGAAATCAGTTTGTTACATTTTATTCTTTCCTTGGACTTAAGCATTGCCTCAGAGTTATTTGTATGTCATAGTGCTGTAGATCTTCTTGTTTATTCTTCAAACTTAATAACTAAGTACAAAATGGTAATGTTCAAGGAATCATTTACAGGGACAACTGAGTATTTGCTGGTTGGTGGTTTATTGACGTAACCTGTGTGCTGAATTCACTGGAATGTGGCAAAGTTAAATCTGGCTTCTTCCACTCCTAACTTGGTGCAAGAAACACTTGGCAGCTATTAAAGTGCTATTCTTTGCAGTTATTCAATATAATTTGCCACAGAAGTAAATTCCAGAAGGTAATATCCTTGCTAGGAGTTCATGCCAAGTGCCAATGGGCTCTAACTGAAGGTGATTCTCTTGGCAGCCGGGAAGATTTCCAGCGGATTCCAGAACTTGCCATCAACCCATTGGGGGACCGGATCATCAATGCCTTCTTTCCAGAGGGGTGAGTCCCTGCAGTGATTTGGCTTCCTTTCTGAGATTGATCTGGAATAATGATGTTGGTTTTGTCATCTCAGACCACAAACCTCCTGATTATATTGAACATACCTAACTTAATCATATCTAGAACATGCCTTTTCTTCTACCCTCTTCCCTTTTTAAACTTTAAACAGGTATATGAGCCCATCTTTAAAATTGTTTTTATCTCTGTTTATATATTTATAAATTATTTTTTTAAATCCTCTCCTGAGGATGTTTGCTTTTTATTGATTTTTAGAGAGAGATGAAAGGGGAAAGAGAGAAACATTGATCAGTTGCCTCCCATACATGCCCCAACCGAGGATCAAACCAGAAACCTATGTATGTGCCCTGACTTGGAATCAAACCTCCAACCTTTTTAATATATAGGACAACACTCCAACCAACTGAGCCACCCTGCCAGGGCTAATCCTGTTTATCTTTGATATAAAACTAAAGTCTTTAAAAACTTTATTTGGAAATTATTTCAAATATACAGAAAAGTTGCAAAAATTGAAAATAGTGTAAAGGACACCTATATATCTTTTACCCTGAAACATCTATTGTTATGTTGTTAACATGTTGCCTCATTTGCATGTACTTTCTGTCCAAACCAATAAAAATATAATCAAGACACATACATAATTATGCATTTTCTAGTAGCCACATTTAAAAAGTAAAAATTAACAAGTTAAA